ACTGATAATTTATTTTAATCAATATGCTTTCGAATTTCGATCACATGAGAACAAAGGCTGTCAATAATATTTAACTTTATAAAATTACCCACACTTGCATCTCTTAGAGAATTCTAGTTCAGTTTCCTCTAAATCATCATTTTCAACTCTTTCAAGTCCCTTCATTTTATTAATAAATGGTCCATTATTTGCAAATAATGAATGAATTCCATCCTTATCTGGCTACAATTCACCTCATCTCTCTGATAAAAAGGACAGAGGACTTCCTAATCTTGAGGATGAAATGGTCTGTGTTGATCTTCTTTAGCATGTACTTTCATCCCTTCGTTTATTAATTTATCTCCACGTCTGATCCAATTTTAAAATACAATTTGCTTATTAAGTAATTGTTGGAATCGGGTGTCTTCACACATAAAAGTCTATATTTTTGTATCAACCCCATAATTAATTTCTTTAGCTTTTTTATCATTATTTGTTAGTTGATGGGCCTTTTATAATGATCCATAAATTGCTTTCATTTCTTGAGTCAACTTAGTGAAGTTGACATATCACTACCTTAAAATTCATTAAAGCTGAAGAATTCATTAAGCAACATATGTGAATGTACTTTACATGAAATCTATTCCATTTTATCATTTCTTGCATTCATGGATTAATAGAGGTATGAAATTCAAAAAACATAATAGAGGTATGTCTCGTAGGAATGATTGCACACCAAGTTTACATAACCCAAAATCTTACAAAGGTATGATTTCTTCTGTTTCAGTGTTAGCAAAGTTATGCACATCATAAATGAAAGCGTAGGTTATTTCATGTCTCACACTTATACTTCTTTTAATTAAAATAGGCATACCAGTAATTGTCCATTTTTCAAGTGACACCTACAAAGAAAAATAATTAAGAAGAGACATCATCACATAAGAAACTCAAAACTACTAAACATAGAGAATTTCAGGACCCTATGCTGCCATTGAAGTTTGAACACCCAAAAATGGAAGCAAAAGAAGAAGAAGGAAAAAAAAACACAGAAACAGAGAAAATGCTAAGCTTGAACAGGGTATGACTTGAGTATGTTCCCAAATAGAGCTTAAAAGCCAAGAAAGTATAATATGACAGTAATTTCTTTAGAAAGCAATTGCAATCTTATTTGAGTCCACCTTTGACTTTTCAGAAAATTTCAAAAATTACAACCATTTTTCAATTGAAAAAATGATCGGTCTATTACCTTGGCAGACTCCTTTTGATTTTTTTGCAGAAGTTCATCAACTTCTTCAATTGATTCAACAGTAACAGGTGGCCCTTCAAAACTCATATGATTGATTACATTCTAGCAGCTTCTCCTTGTCAAAATCATAGCCAAGTTCTGCACATTTACATGAGATAACAATTTTAAACATAACGCTTACTCAAATATAACCGAGTTCTCTAAAGCTCGGGCAGTCTATCACCGATTTTGAACCCAGAATTCAGATATTATCTGAGAAAAGCAAAAATATCATATAAGGACCATTACCTCGATGCGCGTTCATACGTTTCTCAAAAAGTCGAACGGGGTCCGACCCTTCTAAACTGGCGGCGTACATTATGGACCTGCGCACCCAAAACTTAAATAAAGAACAGGAATACTAGGGACGTTTCACAAAAAAGGGCTGGAATGAAGAATTCACAGAACAAGTTCTCTAGCAGCTCTAGGACTGCAAAACCTCCCACTTTCATCAATCTTCAGCAACATTTCTCAAGCAGATATTTTCGATGAAGAATCATTGGTTCAACTTCACTTTAACAATAGATGAGTTAATATACGTTTCAATATGAAAGTTATGAGTATTGTCACCTATTGATCGAATACCATGAGGTTGATGGATCGTGCACGCTTCGGATAACCAAGAACGAGCTCATAGACTTCTTCACCAATGCGAGCATACATCTGATCTCCCTTCACGAGTATACGCTAGATAATTGTTGAGTAGATCAAAATGGTTTTCGTCTAATGCATTATCGTCATAGGCATCCATCCTGAGTTGGACGAATCAAAAACACAGGAGGTTGGAGAAGGAGATGGAACGGGTGACAAAGGAGTGGTAAAACCCTAGGATGAAAAGAAGAGTTTTATGGAGAAGATTAAGCACAAAAATCATGCTCTTACTGAAGCCCCTCACTCTTTGATAGCAAGAATGGCAACAGATTGAAAGAACACGGCGTCCTAGGGTGGTGGAAGTGATAGTGGTTTAGGGAGGATTTGTCGAGTGAAAAGAGATCAAAATAATTCGTCGGTGGGGGCTAGACAATTGAAAGCGGGTTTGCAACTAAACCCAGTGTGTCATTTATCATTAAGCTCTGCTAGTTTAAATTATCAAGAAAAGTGAACATCCTCCTTTATATTCTTTTCGAAATAATGATCTATGAACTCAATTAGTCTCATGACTCATGCTTTTGCTCTTACATCTCCTCGATGATTTAGTGCCAACAAGTAGCCAGCTAGGGCATGCATTTTTGCCACTTTTCCACTTGACTTTGAAGATATAACCTTGGTAACAAAGCTGAGTCCGTTTCCAATTGAAGAACGTTGTACTAAATGAGGTATTTTGCTGTCAAATGCTACAAAATCTGCTTCTAATGCATTTTCGTCATTTGCCCTGCAATATGAGATCAGTGATAGATACGGACACAGGCCTTGCGCACATGTCTTGCAGCTGGTAAAAATAAGATCATTAGGGAAGACCTTTATCTTCAAGTGGTGCAAAGCTTGAAATTTTACTAGAGGCATGGTTAGATTTTTAAGATAACATTATCAACGGATCAATCCTTCTACCTCTACTTCTTGAGAAACAGAGAAGAAAAGCATGTCTGAGTAAAGTTAATATCTTTCACCAAATTCTGTCAATACTTCATATCATACTTTCCAACTGCTATACATTACTAAAAGTTTGTCTTGGAATATACTGTTTGAAATTTTCACCTTGTTGTGTATCATACAGTGTGATTAGAAGATAGGCTTCCTTTTCTTTTGCTCTTTCTTTCCAAGACAAAAAATGATCAAAAAGAAAAGGAAGCATATCAATTTTCATATCACACCATTTCTTTGAGTTTCAAGTAGCTAGTGGAGGAGATGCCCTCATTGGAGAGATCCAAATAGCTGACTTATGCAAATTCCCAGAATGCTTGATTTGGCCTCACCGCAAAGGCAACACACGGTGGATACACAACATCTTCCTACAAGTTTCATAGCACAACAAATCAATGGCCTGTTATGCCATCTTGGAGTCATAATGTTGCATAATATACACAAGTGATTGCAAATCAAGAGGACTTAAACTTGTGTGGATCTCAGGATGGGACCAAAAAAGCCACCCATTACTTCGTTTATGTCACTTATGTCACCGATAGTCAGCTCCATTTCTTCCATAAAATGTTGAGGTTTCACGATCCTTTTACCCTTCTCAAGGTACTTAGCAAAACAGCTTGTCATGTGGTATCTATTTTGCGTCAATGCATCCGACATGCTGTCTATTGGAGAACCTGAGCATTTTAATGGTGTCGCAAAAGCCATTTCAACACACAGAAGTTCTAAAGAGGTGAGATAAAGAATTTGAAAGCCAAAAAGAAGATAATATTGGATTTTCTTCTCAGTATGATGAGATGTGGTTCAATTTACATGCAGGGCTATAAGGGTGCTATGTGATGACATTAGTTGAATCTTCAGCGAAAAGTTGGAAAAAAGAATAATTTATGAGGGAAGAAGAAGAAAAGAATATTGTCCATTCATGACAAGTGAATCTGAACCTAAAGAGAAAAAGCATATTCTAATAGTGCTTCTAACGTGGAATAATAGGTATCATTTTTTCCCCTTCCTCATGTGTCTTGGGATAGAATTGTTTCTGGGCATGATGAGCTCTGTCCTATGCCCTCAATCAAGAAATCAAGAGGGATCTTGTACATCTCTGTTCTCATAAAGTTCTTAAATTTTATAGGGTTCTTAAAATTCTGAAAAGGAACATGATTTATACAGATAACTATACATGTTCAGATGTGTGAAAATGTAGAGTGGTTGAGTTAAAGGGATTCACAAACTTCGGTCAACCACATATGATTCATTATTTTTTTATCTTCTAGAAGTCACTTTAGACAAGGCCATGCCTATAATTGGAGTGTGTGCTATCTAATTGTATAAAGCTAAAAGAGTATGGGGTAAAAGAAAAAAAAAATTGCCTAATATGTAAAATTTAACTCACAATGGTATTGATTTGAAGAACATCTCGCCCTATGCCCTAAAGCAAAAATAGATGTTTTCGTTTTAAATTTTGGATGACTAAACATACAGTAATAATGATTATAATATCGTTGCAAAATATATAATTTATAACAATAAACTATTTATACGGATACGACTGACCTCAAACAAATAAAATTAAAGGAAAAAATTTAAATATTTTATTTTGGAAAGTCTGATATTCAAGATCATAAACTTATGTTGGCCAAAAAAAAGATCATGAACTTATAATAATATCTGACAATTTGTTGGTCAAAAAGTCAACATAAAGCCCTCTACAATATGGGCCTTTAGATCCTTATGAAGATTACATGTACGTGTCATAATCTCAACCGTCATTCTGAATACCCTCCCAAGTTAGGGTTTTCTTCATTTTTGCGCACCCCTCAGATTGCGGCCTCGTCGGCGGATTCTATCTCTATAAATAGCTCTCATTCCTTCCATTCACCATCTCGTCTTCTATCGAATGATCTACTTCCGCTGCCTAAGCGTATAGGGTTAGCTTTAGAGCTGTGTTTCGTTAATGTGTCAAAGCACGCGTGTTTCTCTTATCGCCAGTGCTCGGTACTACATTGTCGTCATTACTGTTTTGCTTCACTTATCTTCAGGCGTCAGATTTTAAACTATTCTCTGTTAATCTAAACTCTCTTTTCAAACTGAGGGAAACGAGTTCTTGTAGATTTAGCTTATGTGTGGTTGCTGATTTCAACTTGAAGTCTCTAGAGTTGGAAGAGATATGACGATACTTTCCCCATATGATCGAAGTTGATTCCAACTTTGCTATTTAGATAATTCATTCCCCGTTAAGGGGATTGAGTTTCCAAGCCAGGACTCTGATCTTTACGCCAACTCAATCTTAATATCAGTAGTGTTTTCCTCTCAATTTGTTTGACGTGGAAGGTAGATCAAGTGTGTGTGTGTGTTCTCGAAACATTGTGTTTATCTGTTAAGAATCCCATTGGTTTTAAGCAATTAAGAGAATCAAAATCTGTAGGTTTTTTTTTTCCCTGCTTTCAAGTTTATTAAGTGAAAATTCATCACTTAGGAGAAGTAGGTTAAAGAGATGGAGGTGATGATTATTTCCCCAGATGATCGACGCTGATTATACTGAGCGATTTTTCTCTTTTTGAGATATCAAGCCAATTGAATCTGATCCATCTCTATAAACCAAATTACCTTAGATGATGAAATGATTAGGCGGTGATTCGATTACTTCTGGAGATTATTAATGCAGATTAACCAGGTCTTGCCCCCAGAAGAGGCCCATTAATAATGTTATGACTTTATTTTTTACGATTTATAAACTTCGATCAATAGGTTGATTATTTTATTTAATCACTTCAGATTATCAAACTCCTACTAGTTAAGGACCAGGTTTTGTACTTTGCTTGCCTTGTACCAAAAAGGAGAGAATATACGCTCTTTATAAGACATTTTTTTTATAAAATTATAAATTTCTATAAAATTAATTAAATACAGCTTTGAATCTTTATTTAATAATAGGAAATATACTTAAAAATAAAATAATGAGGACTAATTTTAAAATAAATTTATTAATGAATCATTACTGATTTACTTCTAAAAAAATTATTTTAAAAAATATTTTATATTAGAGAACATGAAATGATTTCGAAGTATATTATAAAATGGGGAGGTAGTATATATATATATATATATTTTTTTTTTTTTTGGCCTGAAGGGTAGTTTATTTTAACAATGGGGAGGCATGTAAAGATATGGATATTCTAACAATGAGATATACATATATAACAAAGTTTGATTTCAAAATTTTGTTAAATTATTTATTTTTATTAAAATATTTTAACCTAATAATATAAAGTTAAATTTGATTTATTAATAATTTTTTGAAAAAAAATAGATCTGGTTTGATGTGATTTTTATTAAAAAGCTAAGGTACATTTTTATTTTTAAAATATTTGCAAAGCAGCACTCAACAATTTAAAATATTAGTTGTAACGTTATTACTCTTAAAGTTTAAAACATGTAGTAATTTAGCCCTTAATGTTAAGAGAAGCTAGACGCCAGTTAATGGGGTAGTGTGAGACATACATGCACATACATGTTTAGATGGCGTACACTTAGCATCTAAGTGGCAAGTCAAAAACGGGGAAAAACTACAACACCGAAGAGAGGGGTCTCTTTATCTTTTTTCCCTCATTTCCTTTCATTTTTTTAATTCTCACTATTTAAATTATTTTATTAAATAATTTTTTTTAAATGATAAAATTAATAAATGGTGAGGATAAGGGAAATGAAACCATAAAAACAGTGGAGATGGAAGGAAAAGAATGAAGAATCGGCTTCGTTCATGGTGGCTCAAGCTTAATAATACTAAGAGAGCAAGGAAGCGCAAACTAAGCCATAAATTTTCCTAATTTCTTCCCCAAAATTCGTCAGAAACACCATCAAAATGCCAGAACAGAGGAGCCAAAACCAGATCAAGAAGAACAAGGCTGAGAAATCCTCACTTTGGAAAGCAGAGGAAGATGGTGATGAAGAAGATATCGGCAAGCATCGAGATGCAGAGATATTAGGCATAATTCTGGGAAAGAGAATTGCGCTTGAGGATTTGGTGAATCTGAGATTTGTTTGTTTTGAGTTTCATCTTGTGGGTTTGCTTCAGAAGTTGTTGATTTCGATGAACCTAAGGCTTCCTTCAAGATTTCAATCGCTCTCTGAACTTTCTACCTCCATTCTGAACCCTTTCGATCAGTCCTAATCTGGCTCTCTTTCACTCTCCCCACCGGTCCTTTTGCACCCAAACGGCACATGATCTGGGTGATGGCACACATATCAGAGATGGGTCGAAAAGGCATGAGCATGATCTAAATGAGTAGAATGTTGGCGGTCTGATGGCTCACAAGTAAGCGAATGGAAGAAATGAATAGAAGAATGAAAATGACATACATGAGAGAGAGAGAGAGAAGAGAGTCAAATCCACATGGCATGCCACGTCTGTAATAAGAAGTTAATTTACCTTCTCCCACATCATACCCAACCGTCAAAGTTTATGTATTTAACATCAGGAATAACATTGTTCCGTTTTAATTATTTTAAAAATAATATTGCCACCTCCAATAATTTAAAGTGCCACTGTTAACTGCTCATTTGTAAATATTTTAAAAGTAAAAATGTATCTTTCATTATTTAAAAAAAATAAATACCATGGCTACAATTCAGGAAAGAATTTTGTTTTCAATCAACCATTCTTCAAAATTATTTTAATTAGTAATATGGTTCAATTGAAGGAAGCAATTTCTTCCACAAATCTGCATCTTGAACATAAAATCTGCTTCCCAATTAAAATATTCTAAAATGTCAAAAAAAGATGACCACATCAAGCAAATTTAGTGATTAAAAAAAAAAAACTATCATGTCAATAAAACACCCAACAAATACTAAGACTCTGAGATGCCAGTTCAAAGCTAAGAAGGTTATTATATCCATAATATTAAAAACTAGATTACCCCGTCCAACTGAACCACCGTAACCAATAAGCTATTGTCTCGATTATTTAATACATTTTGGTTGATTTAATAAAATATTATTTATAACTGATTTGCTAACGACTTGACTATAATTTTAGTCATTAATTTTTGAATCAATACCTTAAGTAAGGTATAAACTTAATAAATAATCAATAAAAGCTTAAGAAAACGAATTTGTCAACAGATCACATCTTTGAAACGCCCATTGATCTGCCCAAAAAATTTTCCATCGGTGAGAGTTTCACTAACTTCTATAGTTACATGCATCGTCTCTAATGAATAGATAACATTTGCCATGCCTTTCTTTTGATCTTTTTTTATGCAAAAGATGAACCTTAGGCTACACTTCGTTCAATCTTTTTCATTTCAGCATTATATGTCTGGAGAGACTCAAGTATTTCATTGCAATAAGAGATACAGTTCCCAAGGGCTTTCTTATACTTGAGCCGCCATAGAACAGCCAATTTCCACTTGGCCATGGACCTTCTAGCTTTTCTCGATACAAGCATGTCTGTTAAACCATGGCCATCCTGCACATTATTAGCTTCCAAAAAGGCACAAATCTCATCCCGAGAAGACAACATTTTGGTGATTTCCATGAAACCACAAAAATCTTGAATATTATCCATTGCATTCAGGAGTATTGCGTCTTCATCAGTCAATGTCGGTAAACTCTTCAACGCAGAATCGCAAGTCTTTGACAGCCATTTCATGACAACAATTTCATTGTCTACAGATAACTGAGAACCGGAATACACGAGATGGCCAACAGACTTACGCTTATTTTTGGGGGTTGCCCACAACCTCAATGCAGACAGTAATGCGAAGGAAGGCTTCCCATCATGGCCAACATAGAGCGACTCTTTCGGCCATGAACTGGAAGAGTATACAGCAGATTCAAGAGGAATAAAGATTTTGTCGTTTGGATTTTCTTGTAGGAGAAACCCGTAGTGTTCAAGAAGCTCTAAATTTGTGTACAGTCCGTAGCACAATAAAACCTGGAGGAAACAAGGTGACATTTAGTTTCAAATTTGCTTACCAATAGAAAGAATACAAAAAAACTTAGTACTTCTACACTCTATTGCAATTGATTAATGTAAATGCCCCATTAGTAAGGCAAGGTTAATCATTATTGTAATTTCCATAGTTTACATCCCAAAGACAAGTAACAATTAATGCTTCATACTTAAATCTTAGCTTCGAGCAGCAGTAACGAATTGGTCAATGATTATAATGACTTGACGAAGTTGACAATATTTACATTAAGTCAAGGAGAAGTTCCTTAAATATGACACTGGAGGAGGCTGGCATGAACTAGCCACGCTACTGTAGAGACAGTGAAATAGATGTATTCTGCATTAGGGTGCAATATTAACACTTTCTCTTCTAAGATTCTGTTATGTAATTATAATAAATAAGAAAATAACTAAGATTTAATTAGGGTTTAAATGAATTTAAATTACTTAAATAGATTTAGATATGATTTATTATTTAAATAGGATTTAGATAGGATTTCATATTTAATTATATTATTATTATATTGGTAGGATTTCGATAGATTAGAATATATACATATATTCATATGATAATAATGCCTATAAATAAGAGGCATAAGAGTACCTAATTTTAGACTTTGATTTCCAATGAAAATTATATATTTGGATTTGCTCTATTTATCTCTCTATTTCGTATCTCTATCTCCCCTCTCTTTCTCTCTCTTTCCAATCTAAATTCTATGACAGATTCTGTGTGATTTTACCTACTTTTTTCTTTTGGATTTTTTCTTTCTTCCTTTCTTTTCTTTTTTTTTTTTGGTTTTGGGGTGGATCGCAAGTTTGGGAACAACTCCGATTGCTGAAAGCAACCCAAATGTCCTAGTACAATATTGAAAATGCAGCAAAGAATAATGTAATACCTGCTCTCCTTGCTTGTAATTTTCCCTAGCATAAAAGCAATATGAATTCAAATCTTCCTCAAACCCACCATCTGTTAGCCTCTGGAAATGAGAATCGAGCTCTTCTGCATCTAACATTACTACTGTATTGTCTACATTTGAGTCAGGAGAGACATGGAAGGAAGAGTTGGATACTAGAATCTCCTTATCTTCCGGATCAGATGGCTCCCTTCCAGGTGCGTCATAATTAAACAAGTCACCGACAGGGCATAAACACCCAGCTTCATCCCATGATACATGCAACGTCCGGGAGGATATCTAGATTTTGAAAATTTCAATGTGAAGGAACGAGAAGGGGTGATAAAACAATTTAAATGGACTGTAATTTACACTAAAAAGCTAACACAAACCTAAAAACTCCAATTAATGAAGACAGTTATCGATCAATAACAATTAACATACTGCACAACTTCAATAAAAATCATTTCTAATAGATGAAAGAGAGCAGAGAGAGAAACACTTCTAAATTAGTGGGTTGTAATTTTCATCTCACAGCTTGGTCTAACAGACAAAGACAAGCACATACGAACCATTACATACGAGGCCAGTTATCAGCCAATAATCTCCCTTCCAATAAGTGGAATGATATATAAAGTATAGCTTTAAACAAGCAATATAAATTCCACTTCGACAATATATCCATATCAGTAAAATTTTATTCACAAACACCTGCTATTTCAGCAAAAAATAACACCAAATATGTAATACCATTTGTAGTCTATACAAGCATATGATAAAAGAAATTGAATGATTATAATTGAAATAATTTAACACCAATAGGCCCCTCCTTTCATAGGCAAGATTTTCTCACCGTTGCAGTAGCCCAAAGCCATGCATTGAACGTTAAAAGTTGGGACTTGAGTTTGATTTCTTCCATTAAAGCATTGGCTTCTTTCCACTCTGATTTGGCCTTTAATATAGCCTTTTCTGCGACCCACCGAGCCTCATCCACCTAATAGCAACATGATAAAGATCATTTCTAACATATACTAACAAAAATGGAATATTGACATAAATGGAGAATAAATATGCTATAATCTAACCTAATGAGCATCTAAAGTTTCAAGACAGAAACTGAACTTGAAGAGCTTGTTTCTCAAATTCACCAAATGTAGCTAGTATGTCATAAGCACGCGGCAAATGCATGAGGTAAGGATGCCACTTTGAAGATTTTCCTTTGCCCGTTTCATATAATAAGCAAACGGTCAATATCTGCATTACACAAGCTCAAGCAACACCCAAAACAAAAAAATTGTATAAAGGATTCTAATAGTAAACAATATTTAGCAATATTTGAGAGAGAGATTGTTTACTAACTAAAGGAAAGCTATAACTTAATTTGACGGAAGAGACAGCGGGTGGAACAGTTCTACTACAACCTACTACTAGTCATATTTGTTTCCTTTTATAAATATTTATACCATGCCTGAAGTTCTAAACTTCCCTTCTATCCCACGATAATGAAAAAAGATAAATAACAAGATTTAGAAAGAAACCTGGGCGGATGAGAGATAAGGGTGGTTATTAACAGCAATGGAGAGTTTCTTATCGTCCATGACATTCTCTGATGTCATTAACGCAGATTTTGGAACTCTGAGGATCAGTTCTCCCCTCCTAAGATCCCGTACAGCACTCAAACCTCTACTGCAGAGTTCTCCGAATCATATAAAACCGACAGTAATAGCAAGTCAGAAGCATCAACATCTGAATTGTCCTTCTCTATCATATCTGGTTGAATGATTGCCATTGAATCACAGGAAAATGTTTCTCTATCTTCTGTTTTTTTTTTTTTAATCAAGAACTGTTTTAATTTTAAATGAGTAGTGGGAAAAACTTAGAGTGATGAGGAAGACAATTAAATTCAAGTTCAGTAATTGACAAATGGCTAGCAAGGAGAAAATAAAAAAGAATAGGAGGTACCCGCCAGAATGAGGAAAATGAGAGACACGGAGAGAATAACCCAGGCAGGAAAGAGAATGTTGAGGCTGATCCGTGATTACTACGTCTGATATTCCAAGCTCTCCTGCCCATCTTAGGAAGCTTGCCAGACTTCGTATTTCTTCTTCTTCTTCCATCCTCTTTGAACAAAAACCCTAGTCTGGGGGAAAAAAAACTTTCTAATGCAACAATGTTTAACTGATTAAGCAAGCTTCTTTTCCCTTTCAGCCGAACGCCAACGTTGAAATCTTAGACCTGTGAATGGTGATGCGTTCGCTCGCTATATTTGCTTCCCAACCTTCTGGGTTTCAGTTTCACTTCGACCCTGGATTGAGGATTCATGCTTCACACATTTCCAGCTTCGAACACGAGGAGGAGGCTGGACTTGGACTTCGGACTAGGCCGAACCCATATCAAGAGCAAAGGCCCAACATTACAGAGCCCTTTTTTCATTTAAGCCCATTAAGATATGTACTTTAAAAGTGAAAAACACAACTTTAAATCCCTGCATTCTTTTCAGTATTTTGAATCTCTATATTTTTATTTTTTTATATTTTAAGTCTCTTCATAAATAATATTATAAGGACTTAAAACGTTAAAAAAAATAAAAGTATATGAACTCAAAAGACTGGGAAAAAATGCAAAGACATATAACGAAACTCGAATAAAATGTAGGGATTTAAAATTATATTTTTTTCTTTTAAAAGTTAAAAACTATGATCACATTTGGTTATTAGAAAGAAATAAAACAGAATGGAATAAAAAAAAGATAAAAATAAAATGATTAAAAGAAATAGTAAGCTACATTCATAAAAGAAGGGAATAATTTAGTTCCTGAAGTTAAAAATCATAATTTATAAAAATTTTAAAATGTGTGATGATACTCACATTTATAATATATATTAATAAATTTTATTATACTTACTACAAAAAAAATAATTTAATTCATTTTTATATTAATTTTTTATTTTATTTTATTTTATTTTATTCTACTAATCAAACGTGATCTTAATTCATTCTTTAAAGTCACAGGGAGCATTTCCTCTTTCCGTGGTCTTACTTGTTTGGTGAGCTTTTCTTTTAAATAAAACAGTTAAAATCTATCATAAAAATAAAGAGATACATAAAAATATTATAAAATAAAAAATAATTAAATAATGAATATTTTTTTAAAATAAGTGAAAATAAATCATAAAATTTGAAATTCGTTAACCACCCCCCGGGGGGTGGGACTGCCAAAGGTTTAAGTATCGGGTGCATTCAATGTACGATAAGTTTTCATTCCGTCTCCAAAAACCAAAATAACTGATCCTAAAAGACTGAGTAATTAACAATATAGTCGTCTTTGGCAAAAATAAAAAAGAAAAGAAAAACATCATCTTTCTGGGAGACCAGGAATAAAAATTTCATCATTCCGGAGCACTGATTGTCCAGAGAGCAGAGAACACGTCATAATTTTTCAAGAGTAGTAGTCATGCCACGTCCACTCCAATCTTTGCCTGTCGTCCGCCCGAATTGAAAGTAGATTGGCATTGTTTGCCAGGAGAGCACCCTCCTGGTTTTTTTTTTTTTTAACCTAAATATATATCCTCTTCATTCAATATTCATTGCTTTCATCATTAGATTCTTTGCAAAATTATTTTTTAGCCAGTCCTTAACAATTGATCTCCTGATTTATACAAACCGAACTATCATATAATGAACTCGTGTTATTCATATTTAGATGAATTAAGTTACTGACGGAAACAAAATAACAACGTTGCAAATATTGCATTGAGAAACAGAGTCAAATGACAGGGAGACCCAGAGAGGAGGAAGAATTCACAATTAAGGAGAACGACGCCGCGACCTGATGTACTCTTCTAAGGCCTCCACTTGCTCCTTGGAAGGAGGGGTTTGATTGTTCTTTATTGATCTGTGCACGTCGTACGTCGTCGATGCCAAGAACAGAACCCTAATCAGATTTAACCCACAATTTTCAGTCCAATTCCATCCTCATAATCATCGCAACAGCCAACAATTTAAATACTCATACTAGATCGGCAAACCAAATCAAACAATTGAACAGACTGAAAAGTATGAATCACAAACCCTGAGGCGAAGAGCACGATTTGGCCTGGAAATACATGTTTACCGAACATCCTCATCTTCTCTGCTTCTGGAATCTCGAGTTCTGCACTTCAACAGAGAATAGTAACATAACGACTCAGCAACCCAAACCATACGTTTTGTTTATTTTTCTTTTTCTTTTTTAAATTCCTTTTATTTTTCTGCTCTTTGCTTGTTCTGGGCTTCGCTGGACTTGGACTTGTTATAGGACTTCATATATTCAAAAAGCCCACAAGATTGGATCCTTCGCAATTGATTGAGGTTTCGTGGAGGTAGTTTGTTAGTTGGGTCAAGGTTCTCTCTGAGAATATTATGATGTGCGAGTTTGATCATTGCTTGCCAAATCCAAACAAAACGTGTTTCAGGAGATACCCATATCTACTGTCTGACACTGTTTTAAAAAAATTACCACTAATAAAGTATAATTGTGCATAATAAAAAAAAAATGCTTGCAGATCCAAAGATGAAATCGAAGACCCTGCTGGTATGACAGAAATTTTTTTATGAAATCAGAATTTGAATTGTAATGGAATTAAAATTTAAAAAAAAATGTTTGGTATAAGGATGAAATTTTAATATAATTTTATTTGATATAAATGTTTAAAATATGTAGAGACAAAAACACCCCTTTTAAAATTAATGGGCCAAACTATTCACTGCTGCCTTTCTCTCTGATTCACCAGCGCTGACCAGAGGGGCAGTGATCGAGAGAGAGAGATTGAGGCAATGATGAGAATTTCCTAGAATTGAGTCAGTTCCATCGTGACAGTGATGGAATTAGATTCAATGCATTTTTGTTGATTTGGGATTATTTGAAATCTGTATTCATGCATGCTAAACTACTCAACTTACAAATTCTGGTTCCGTTTCCGTTTCTCTTAAGCCAATTCTAGGCTATCAAACATAGCCTTAGGTGTTTATAAAGAAGAGTGTGTTCTGCATGTTGCTTTAAGCAACACATGTCAAACACTTCAGAGTAGAATGTGATGCATGAAGACTTCTCCAACATGAAAAAGCAGAAACAATGAATCACATCTCTTGACACTGCTTCGCTGGCTTAATTAGTTCTTTAATTACACCTTGTGTGAAATATCTAATAGTTGAAATTTAAAAAGGGTCTTGATTTACTCATATTTGTTTCAGTAGATGTAATTAAAATTTCTCCAGTTGGGTTTGAAATATTTTGACCGTTTGTTTTAGGATATGATATAGTGAAGTCTTTTAAATTATTTAATATTTATTTCTTTAGACAATAATATTCTCTGTGTGTGTATAGATATTTCTCTGATTCTATTTATAAAATACTTTAATATGTTTTATGAGTATTAAAAAAAACTTTAAAACTCATTAACTCTGTCTTAAAATTTAATAAGTTCTCAACTTTGTCCATATTAAATACACACTTTCAATAACATATTTTTCCTCTTCAATGTTTAATGGAAGGTAAAAAAAATTATTATAAAAATTTAATAACATGACTTATAAACAGGATAAAAAAATTATTCTATCTCTGTTCTATAAATAAAATCGGAGGGAGTATGTTTTAGGCCTGCTTTATTATTGTTGATCAAAACAAGAAATCTATAATTTTCCTCGACAAGGACTTCATTTTCTTGTCCAAAAGAGCCGCGCCATCTCCTCCTATCTCGATAAGTGAAGAGGGCGATGTTTAATATATATCTCTCCAATATTTCAGATGTATTCGAGAGCTCCTTGTTTCCAGTATATTATCGACGATAAGCCAAAGGGTTTTTTAAAATATCAAAGTATCATGCCATGATAATAATATATTATTTTAAGTAAATTCTTATACTACCCAAAACAAACTGCAAAAATTTCCAGTCACAATGGCAATTATTATATTGAATTAAATCATTGTACTTGAGATCTTAACGTCTGGCAACAATATCAATATCAATTATGGCCAGGACAAAAAAAAATCAATGTCGCTATCAAACATTTAATAGGTGCCCACCAGGACACCAATTTAAAAGGCTATTTATGGTAATGAAAATAATTTTTTGCATGGCCCCATACATTAAATTATTTATAATCTATTTAATAAAAATATACCACATTAAATTATATTAAATATAAATTTATTATAAAATTAATAATAATATAAAAAAAAATTAAAGAGGTGCTCTATTTAAAAAATAAAGCTGTTAAAAATAGCAGCACATAACACATTAAATTTTATTTAATTTAGTTGGTTTGACAGAGGGAGTACTATATTTTTATTTAATAAAGTACATAAGGTGAAGTACTGGGCATGTGCCAGAAATTCTGTGATAATAAAATATGATAGTTGACCTGAATAAGCGCGATAGGATCCGTTGATTGTTTGCCTTCAACAACCCCAGATAAACATTATTTTTTTCCTTTCCTGGTTCCTGCTCCTTTTTCTTAACATGCAATGAATATTAATTCCAAGTCAAAACGTTCATACAGTAGACCTTCATTTCAGAAATTAGTTGACTTATTCTTGCCCCGCGAAATTCATGGCATTCAGTTAAGTTATTCACACTGAAAAATCAGTCATGCAATCTAATTCCTGAACAAGTGGAAAATTTAATTCTGACTTTCCTTTTAATATATATATAATTAAAAGTAAATAATCCAACAAATGGATGAGTTGACTTGCTGACTTCAAACGAAAATCTTAATATTTTAGGACCTATTTGATTTTTGTTCTCATTTTTTAATTTTAAAAACTATTTTGTAATACATTTTTTAAATTTTTTTTAAAATAAAATAAAATAAAAATTTGTTTGGTTATGTCAATTGAAAAGAAATTTTAAAATTTAAAAATAGATTGATAGTGATGATTATAAATATTTATTGGTTTTAATTAATAATAAAAATTGATTAAAGTAATTATAATTTTTAATAATTAAATATATTGTATTATTCAAAATAAGAAAAATAAAAGAAGACAACTTAAAGTTATTTTTATTTTCTTGTATTTGAAAAAAAATAAAAACAGTTTTAAAAATAATTAAATAAAAAACATTTATCCAAATAAATTTTAAATTTTTTGTTTTGAAAAATAAAAAATTTAAAAATAAAAAAAAACAAGCCCTTAATCATTGATAATTCACCCTCAAGCTGTTGAATGCTTATAAGTCTTGATTTAACTTAACTTCTTATTACACGGTTATCCGTGATCACACACTCAAAAAAAAAAAAAAAGTAGATGAGTCTTCGTTGCTACTTGCTAGTAAAATGTACTCCGACTGAAAGGACTAATTAATTAACCTTTTTTAGTATAAATATACTGAGTGAGAACTTTAATTTGTGTGTAGAAAAGATTGGGAAAACTAATTCTTGAGGCAATAAAACAGGAAGAGCTACATGATTTAGAAAAATTCCGAAAGAAGGGGAGGGTAGTTTAATTGAGTTTTGACAATGACAGCACAGATATAATAAATTAATAATATAACAAGCAGTGGGTCCGAAAAAGAATGAGAGAGCACAAAGATCGTGGCTAGAAACAAAGGCCCCCCGGGGGGGCTGGGGGGGGGGCGCGGAAAAAGACGAACTGATGACATCCGCATTCTTTTTTTCTCAACTTTAGCCGCGCTATTGTCTCACGCTGCGTCACATCAATCATTATGTCGCCGGTAATAATTTATGGTTTTTTTACATTACGTTTTCGAATTCTCACAATACTAATTAAAAATTAAAAATAAATATGTAAGATGTAATTATATTTTTTAAAGAGTTAAATGTTAAAAAATATAATATATTTTTAATTTTTTAAGTTATAATTATTATCTTTTAAAAAAGTATCCCTATCAATAAATGACTTTATATTTATTGTAAGATATTTAATAGAATAAATATAAAAAGATAAAGTTAAGTTAAAAATAAATAATTACTTTATTAAAGAGTAAGATTTAATTAAAAATATTTTATATTTTTAAATGAAGAGGATACATATCTTCCTCTTGATTAAATTATGTTAGTTGGGGTAAAATAATACTTCCTCCATTAAAAAATGTAAGACATTTTTTGAGGAGTTAAATCTTAAAAAATATAAAATATTTTTAATTAGATGTTAAAAAATATTTTTAGTCTTTTAAGGTATAATCATTACTTTTTTTTAAAGTAGCCCCATTAAAAATAACTTTATATTTATTGTAGAGTGTTTAATAGGGGTAAATATGAAAAGACATATTTAAAATTAGGTAATTATTTTATTGAGGGTAAGATTCAATTAAAAATACCTTATATTTTTAAGTAAATGGAGTAAAGGTTAAATGAAAACTTTGTCAAAAAATTATAACACTAAGAACATTTGAATTTATTTTTGTTGTAATCTTTCATTCTATATTTTAAAAAATGTAATATTATTTCTATTATTAATAAATATTAACTTGAATATTGCATCATATTTATGATCCTTTTTACAAGAAAATTATAAGGGAGAACATAAAAAATCACAAAAAATTTTATGATCCTTTTTGGTATTAAAGTTATCATTTATTAACAATAAAAATAATATTACATTATTTTAAAATATTAAAAGAAAATATTATACTAAAAAAAAGCTTAAAATCCTAGACATTGCCGAACATATATTTAAAGGCAAATTTACCTTTAACCCTACTAATAATAAATTAATAATCTAAATTTAAAGGTAAAAATGTCCGCAGCATGGATCTCCGCTCATGGCTCAAGGTCTTGTTTTTATTGGAACATTCTCTGCTTACTGCAAAGAATTCAACTTCATATAAGAAACAACCAAAAAATAAATAAATATACCAAGTTCGTGCAATCATATTCCTCATATTTCCCAAACACGCACTTCGGGAGAACAAATCAATACCGAGGATCGACGAGACAGAAGACGACGTATTCGTGTGCAAGAACTCCTGATATTTTATGACAATATGGCGTACATATAACCAGACAAGGAAAGCCAAGAACTCAACTGAACTGCACAAGCGTACTAGCTAGGGTCCAAAATTAAGTTTGTTGCAGAGACTAACTTTATTTAATAATTTATGGACAAGGACGTGCCTGAGTATAAAAATTGTACGCTAAATCTAACCAACATGACAACTCCATGCATAGAGACCAGAGTGGTTGGCTATTATAAAATATTT